AATGTGGTCAGATAGGTACCTAGAGTCATCAGAGTGAGGACTGCATGTGAAGAATAGAAGAGAACATCCTTCCTTTATCTCTTGTTTTCTTGAGTCCCTAATCCTTGCTGAAAATATAGGAGACCACAAAACAGGATTTCAGATAACTAACATGTGAAATGTGAGAAATTACCAGAGTTTGCACAGGTGCCCAGGTCTAAATATAAGAAACACTTAGATTTTTGCAAAAACATCGGCATTCCCAGAGTAAGCAAGATACCAGGTTGCTCTCTCAAAGCTGAGAGTATATTAAAAGAAAGAATGCTATAGCTCCCTTATTTACATTTTTAGAGATAATTTGGGAAAGGTCTAACTCTTTTAACTAATTTAAAACTGTTCAGATTGAGCCCTGGCTGGTTAAAGCATCAGCCTGCAGACCGAAGAGTTGAGGTTCGATTCCTGGTCTAGGGATTGCAAGTTGCATCCTGGCCTCAGTCAGGGTCATGCCAGAGGCAACCAATTGATTTGTCTCTCTCACATCAATGTTTCTCTCCCTCTCTCTCTCTTTCTCTCCCCCCTCTCCCTTCCTCTTACTCTATCTAAAATTTAAAAATCAATGGAAAAATATCCTCAGGTGAGGATTTAAAAAATAAAATAAAACTGTTCAGATTGACAAACATAACAAAGTATGGTAGACCCTAACCAACTGAGAGAAACAACCAGTTCTCTCAACTTTTTATTTGTACCCCTTGGAATGTAGTACGGAGTCATACAGGCAAAGAACCCACATAGATTTCCATTTAAGGTGAGAATGAGGAAGGGAATACCAGGTCCTAAGGATATTCAGATAGTTATCCCTGAAGAACATTTTGAAACAATGTTGTTTTCTATCTTTTTGTTTTGCCCGCCCCCCCCCCCCCCCCCCGGTAATGTTCTCATTTCCTTTCATTGAACACGAGTTTGTACTAAGGGGGGAATGAAAAAAAGATTTTTAATGAGAAAAAAAAGTTCAGACCACATGGGAGCAGTGCTTCCTTTGACAGAAGTGACTGGTTGGAAGCTAGAACTCTGCATAGGAACAGCAAGAAAGTATTTTCAATGATGGGTTTATTGTGACAAGTGAGGTTTTGATTGGTTGTGAAAGTAGAATGAAGATCACCAGGGGTTTCCACACCAAAAGAAGAAGAAGAATCTGGAACAGTGACCTAGGCCCAATAAACATAGCCAGTTCTAAGCCTCCTGGCTGACTCCTCAGAGACTCCAGGAAGAAGCAAGAATGGACAATCCCCTGGGAGCTTCCCTGCTGCTCCTATGTGTGCAGCTAACCTGTGAGTGAGGGAGCAGCAGAAAATTCATAGCCAGGCTTGACACCAAGGGCCAGCACTTTTCTCTGCATGTGAGGGACTCCCAGCTCCATGACTCAACCAGGTTCCTATGTGCAGCAAGTGCACAGTGAGACTCTGGCACCTGCACTCTGCACCTAAGCCCGGCCAAGCTCTACCCTTCCCCTGTGAGGGTTCCAGGACGCTGACTGCTCTGAGCAAAGGGAAACATGAGGGGCTTTTTATAGCATAATACCAAACAGTTTTCATTTGAAGACCTTGTGCAAAGGGATAATATTGTCATATACTATCTGATGTATTTTGTTTCTCAGTGTGAAGTTCTTGCTCTATTAAAACTAGTTCAAAACCCTAAGGCTTAATATCAGAAAGGAGAGAGCACTACAAAGAACAGAGGACAGAGTAAAATTCTTGCCAGTGAGCTTCTTTGTAGACTTTTACAAACACACTGAAAATACAGTATCTTAAAAGCCATGATGATCAACTTCAGTAATGAAAGAAAATATATTTTGACATTCTGAAAAGACTGGCTTAGAATCTAGAACAGTGATCTAGGACCAAAACCCAAGGGAAACTGATAGCATAAAGTTTATAAGGAACATCATTAAAAGAGAGCACAATATGATGGAAAATCTGGTTCCTCCTTAAGAGGGAAAAAAGGTCAACCAGCTGGCTGGAGAAGAGTCAAAGGGACATGACCAGAGGGTCTTTGGAAAGTGCCCAGCATCCTGCTCTTTTTTAAGGTCAGACCCTTGAGCAGGTGGGGTGGGAGGAGGATGAGTCACATTAAAGGTTGACCATGAACTGAAGGAGCAGTGTGTGTAGGCACAAATTGTTCAGATCATTATATCTTATATCCATATTCACTGGAGAGTATCCACTACAGAGGAAGCACTGAACAACCGTGTGAGCAACGTAATTCATCTAGAGGATATCACCAGCCTCTGTCCACTTCAGTGCTAAAACAACAGACCCATGAACCGATTAGCTAAGGTGACAGAACAGAGGTTCTCCATAGCCCAGAAGAATGGTTTTCTCTCACCAGTTAGAATTTAGTTACTTCTGCTGCCAAAGAGCCAACCTGTCAGCAATAGATATCACACTGAGCCTTCAGTATGGAATCACCCCTCAAGGAGATCACCAGCCTCTTGTTGGCAAGTTGATTACATTGGACCACTTCCACCCTGGCAGTGACAGAAATATATATTTTTTAATCCTCACCCGAGGATATTGTTTTTCTATTTATCATCAGATATAGTGGGGGAGAGAGAGAGGGCAAGAAAGGGAGAGAGAGAGAAACATTGACGTGAGAGGAACACTTCAACTGGTTGCCTCCCACATGACCCTGACCAGGGCTGGGGATGAACCACAACTGAGGTATATGCCCTTGGCCAAAATCAAACCCAAGACTCATTGGTCTGTGGACCGATGCTTTACTGTTGAGCCAAACCAGCCAGGGCCAGAAATCTTTTTTTTAATTGGGGTCAATTCATACCTATGGGTATGAGTTTGCCTTCCATTCCACAATACCCAACATAGCAGCACAAACTGAGAGTGCAGAGTATCTGGCTGATTTTCAAAGAATTTCCCATTTCTCTGCATCAACAGACCCACTTTATAGCAAGAAGGTGTGACAATAAACATATGACCATTGGATATACTGATCCACTACATAGAACATTATCTGCAAACCAGTAGCCTAAAAGAACATTGGAATAACAACTCAAAGGCTCAGCTAAAGCACCACTTAGAGACAGCACTGGGAGAGATTGGAGAGCTATTCTTCAAGATGGTCCCGAGTTCCTAAAGCAGCCTTCAACCAATGAGGGACAGTGAGTTTATGGATTATTCCAGCTCTTTCATGCCCCACTTAGGATAAGTCCAAAGGGTATGCTATACTGAATCCCAGTTACCCAGCTGGATTAAGCTTCAAATTTCCCATAGTAATAACTGGCTTGATGACGACACCCTGTATTGTCGTCTTTCCCTTCCCTGATTCACTTCCTACCAATGTTTTCTAGCATCACCTGCACATAAACTGCCTACACAAATCCCATATTGGAACTAATTTTGGGGGATCCAAAACCAAGAACCAAGAATTTAAATAATCGGACAAGGATGGAGGTGATCTAGAAGCAATTCTTTTGCCCCTTCTTCCATTGTTATCAAACTGGGTTTTGGGGCAGAAGAGATTCTAGCAGCCTCATTCAGGGCTGGTTGCAACGCTCACGACTCCCTGCACCTGTCTCTGAGAGGAGAGGCTCAACCCCTTACCACTGTGTTACAGAGACTATGCTGCTCAGACAGTGCCTGGAATGTAACAGGGCCCTGTTCATATGCACGGCCTAGGGACTCCAACTCTGGAATTAAGTACACATCTCTATCACTCCCTCGGAAATGCAAATTTCTACTGAATCATGTTTGTTTGTTTGTTTATTTATTTATTTATTTATAATCCTCACTCAAGAATACTTTTCTATTTATCTTCAGATAGAGTGGGAGGGAGTGGGGAGAGACGAGAGAGAGAGAGAGAGAGAGGGAGAGAGAGAGAGAGGGAGAGAGAGAGAGAGACATCGATGTGACAGAGACACATCGACTGGTTGCCTCTCGCATGACCCAGACCAGGGCTGGAGACCGAACTGCAACCGAGGTACGTGCCCTTGACTGGAATTGCACCCGCAACTTATTGGTCCATAAGCCGATGCTCTAACTGCTGAGCCAAACTGGCCAGGGCTCATAATACTTTTATTTAAAAAGTTTTTTTCAGTCCTGGACAGTTTGGCTTTGCGGTTAGAATGTCAACCTGCAGACTAGAGAGACCTGGGTTCGGTTCCTGCTAAGGGCACATACCTCGGTTGCAGTTTGTCCCCGTCCTGGTTGGGGTTCTGTGGGTAGCGACCAGTTGATGTGTCTCTCTCACGTCGATGTTTTTCTCTCTCTCTCTTCCTCCCTCTCTCCCTTCTGCTCTATCTAAAGATAAATGTAAAAATGTCCTCGGGTGAGAATTAAAAAGAAAAAAAGTTTTTTGTTCACAATATTTTCTCAAAAAAGAATGAGCTGTGAGAGCTACTCTTAATGTGAGTTGTTTGAGGTAATTTAGTGCTGATGAGAATTCTTGCAATAGTTACTTCAGAGTTTCCTGGTACAGCACAAACAAGGTCTTATTTTTTTTAAGGATTTATGGAAAAATAAACACAATTATACATGACATGAACAGCTTCCAAGTTTATAGTCTCTTCTGAGTCACAAACATATATATATATATATATCTTTTTTCACATTGTTTCAGAAATTTTAAAAATATAAAAATTAAATGCACAAGTATATTCTTATTACTTATAACTGTTCATATATATCTTAGTTGCTTTGTCATTTTTATTTTAAAAAGAAGAAAAGAAAAATTGGAGTTTGCCATTGTTGCAAATAAAACCCTGCTACTTCTGCTGCCATTCCAGGACCAGACTCCTCCCCGAGACTAGGTCTCATCAGAAATAAGTTTGCCAGCTCTCTTTCCTCTTTATTTTCATTCTAGAATAAAAGAACTCAGAAAACATCTTTCACCTTTATTTAAAATTATAATCAAGGCCTATTTTTCTGAGAGACCACAGTGACTTGGGAAAACTCCTCTCTGAGAAATGGTCACCCTCCCACCTATGATACCATTTCCTGTCACGAAGCACAGAGGAGAGCAAGAGACTTCTCAGTCAGCAGGGAGAGCTGTCAGCATGACGTTTGCTGCCTTGCTGTGGGCACTCGTGGTCTCGATCTGTCTTGGTAAGGAAGCTGTACGTCTTTATTTACAATGTTATCTAAAGGGGCTCTGAACCATCAGAAGATTAATACCACAGACCTGTATTGCCTCACAGAGCCCAGCTATTTTCAAGAAGCAAAAAGGTGGGTGGGGATGGAACCAGCTGTGAGCGTGCCTGCTTTATCTCTCTGGTGTCATACCCCAGTGCAGTCCTTTCTGTCCTCTGTCCCACAGGATCCAGCATGACCCAGACGGTCACTCAGCCTCAACCAGAAGTGTCCGTGCAGGAGGCAGAGACTGTGGCCCTGGACTGCACATATGACACTAGTGAGAGAGATTATTATTTATTCTGGTACAAGCAGCTTCCCAGCGGGGAGCTGATTTTCATTATCCGCCAAGAATCCTATAAGCAAGAAAATGCAGCGGATAATCGCTTCTCTGTGAACTTCCAGAGAGAAACCAAAAGCATCGGCCTCAGGATCTCGGACTCCCAGCTGGAGGACGCTGCGATGTATTTCTGTGCTCTCAGTGGGGCACAGTGAGAGGAGGAACAGGGAGAGGTTTACAGAAACCTCAGACCTGGTGCCTGGGTCAGGGGGACAGGAAGTGGTTGGGGTAGCAGAAACATAGAAAAGCATTGTCTTCTCTTAGGAATTAAAACTCCTTATGACTGAATATAAGAAACACAGAGAGATGGATGTCAGCAAGCTGAACTCCTTAAAATAATATCAAGAAGCCCAGCCAGTGTGGCTCAATGGTTGAGCATTGACTCATGCACCAGGAGGCTGCTGGTTCAATTCCCGAGGACACATGCCCAGGTTGTGAACCCAATCCCCAGTGGAGGGGGAGGGATATGCAGGAGGCGGCCAATCGATGTTCTCTCTCATTGATGTTTCTATCTCTCTCTCTCTCTCTCCCTTCCTCTCTCTCTAAATTCAATAAAGAAATTAAAAAAAAAAAACATAATAACAGCAAGAATAACAATGTGTGTGACAGATGAGCTTCTTAAGCATTCTCTTTATCTAGAAAATCTTAATAATTTGTCTGGGAGCTCATACTTTCAAGAATCTTAAACTTTTCCACCTTGTTAAATAAAGCTTTTAAACACATACATTTTTTTGGTTTTCTTATATTTTCCCATCCGTGTCCAAACTGAATCACCTCAGAACACAGCAGGTGTGACAGTGGAGGCATAAGTAGGGAAGGGATGCATTGGTCCAACCATGGCCCTGAAAGATGACCTCTGTCCATGGTATCTGGGTCAGAGATCCAGAGGACAAAATGGAATGGCCTGTGAAAGACTCCGTTAAAAAGCCCCTCAGGATTTCATCTCCAGATGGCTGCAGGCAGGACTGGGGGGAGGGTGAGTGTGTGAGAGAGTGACCTAGTGTGTGAGAGAGTGTGGGTGGACTTGAAGGTGGACAACCAAACCTGAGCAGAGCACAGAATCGAAGCAGAAGTTTCCTGTGCTGTGGACCAACCGGCTACTGCTGTAAGCTGCTCTTCAGGGCACTTCTCCCTGCACCACGGGGAGGTCCCACCATTTGGAAGATCTTGGGTCTTCCCTGGGAGGAGGCAGTGAGAGCGGCTAGGGCCCAGCAACCTGAGCCCACCAGCAAACCTGGCACCATCAGACCAGTGGACACTCTGTGTCAACACAGACCAGTGCACAGTAGTGGAGCTCCCAAGGTGCTAGTCGCAGAAGCCGCAGACAGCTGGGAGCCCAGCACCATCCCCCACAGTAACAGCTTGATCAGAGTCCAGATATACCCCCAGCAACAGAGGCTGGGGAGCAGACATCCATCCCCAGGCACCAGAAGCACAGACCAGCAGCTGAAACCCATCCCCAAAAACTACAGCAAAAGCTAAGCAGGAGTTGAGCCCCACAGGGCCCCAGCACTCCCCAGCCACCAGCAGTGGGACCTAGGGCTCCACAGAGGCCTGTGCGGTCCAGCAGCTCACAAGAGCAGTGGGAAGCCAAAGCCCAAGAGAGACTGGTGCGATCCAGCTGCCCCTGGGTCCTTCGGGGTGCTAGGGCACCAGAGAGGCCAGTGCGACCCAGCAGGGACTGTTCAATCCAGTTACCCTTGGGAACTGCGGGATTCTGAAGTTCCAGAGAGGCCTGTGCAACCCAGTAGAGACAGTGCAATCAAGTGACCCACAGGAACTGTTGGGTGCTAAAGAACAAGAGAGGCCTGTTCGACCCAGCATCCCATAAGATAGGCATAGTGCCAGGTGCACAAAGTGACTATGCTATTCAGTTACCCGCGGGACCTACAGGGTGCAGGGGCACCAGAGAGGCCGGTGTGACCCAGCTGTGCACAAGATAGGCATAGAGGATGTGAAAATGGAGGCAAAGTGAATGGAAGCTACACAGATGATTTCCCAGGACCAAACAGGAATTACAACTAAAATAAAGACAAATCCTTGGAAAAAAGCAACAGAAAAGAAGCAGGAAAGGGTCATATAACCAGGGACACTGGTAGGATCTGTGGAGGTGCGAGAGGGTGGTGGGCTGGGAACCCAGGGACAGCAGCAATCTTAGCTGTAAGCAGCGCCCTTGGGGAATAAAGACCAAGCCCATTTCACAGCACAGAGAGCCAGGACAGAGCACTAAAATAGCCACAGCCACTTACCTGGGCACTACAGCAAAGGAAGGACAGACTGGGCTAGAACTCTGTGGGAACACCCAGGATTTGGAGGGCACTTAGAGTTTTTGCTGAGTTGTGGCCACAAAGGACAGTGGCCAGTGTGCTCCTTCCCAGAGTTGGGTGGAAAAGCAGCAGCTCCCCCCTCACAGATTCAGCCTATCTCATGTGAGGAAAAGAAATCCAAATAGAGGTTCATTAACAACCAGTATCCATCCCACCCTCTGGAAATGCTCTTATGCAAAACACCAGGGCTACATTCCAAGGCACTGAGTAACTGAGACTGCCAGCCTCCAGGAAAAAGCTAGAGGATACCTGAACCTTTCCTGGGCTTGCAAACCTACCCAGTAAAGTAAGACTTGACAGTGGTGTTTAACATGGCCCCACCCAGGCTCAAACCCACTACGGGGAGCCACAAACAGCAGAACACCAACACCCACAGGGAAAATTTGGCAGGTTCCAACACCCACTGAGATAGCTAAAATGGTGAAACAAAGAAACAAAACCCAAATAAAAGAAAAAGAGAACTGCATAGAAAATGAGGTAAATGAAGTGCAGTTAAGCAAATTATAGAGGTAGCTCTCAAAGCAATGATCTTAAGGAAGCTCAACAGCATGAGTAAGGACATCAGCACCATGAGTAAAGATATAGAAACATTGAAAACCAACCAAGTGGAAATGAAGAATGACAAGCAGAAATAAAGAACACATTGGAAGGACTAACCAGCAGGGTAGAGGAAGCTGAGGACCGGATTAGTGAATTAGAAGACAGGATAGAAAAAAATCAACCAATCAGAAAACCAAAAGGAAAAAACAATTTAGAAAACAAGAAGACAGCTTAAAAGAACTGTGGGACAACTGGAAATGTGATAACATTTGAATCCTAGGAGTCTCAGAAGAGGAAGAAAATGAGCAAGGATTAGAGAGTATATTTGAAGAAATAGTGACAGAAAACTACTCTAATATGGTGAAGGAAGAAGGCATTTAAGTTCAAGAAGTACAGAGAGCCCCAAGCAGGAAGAAACCAAACAGGCCCACACTAAAACACATAGTAATTAAAATGCCAAAAATTAAAGACAAAGAGAGAATCCTGAAGGCAGCAAGAGATAAGCAACAGACTACCCACAAAGAAACCGACACTAGGCTCTCAGCTGACTTCTCAACACAAACACTACAGGCCAGAATGGAATGGCATGAGGTAATCAAGGTCATGAAAAACAAGGATCTGAATCCAAGACAACTCTACCCAACAAGGCTATCATTCAAAATAGAAGGTAAATAAAAAGCTTCCAAAACAAAAAAAGGCTAAGGGAATATATATTTTATTAATTAACTAATTTTTGTTACAGATGTTTCTCCTTTTTCCCCCATTGATTCCCCCTTCCCCTTCCCTCACCACCCTGGCCCAAGCTGTATTGTCCATGTCCATTGTTCATGCACACATGCATATAAGTTCTGTGGTTTATCTCTCCCCCACCACCACCTGTTCTGGGGAATGTCAGTCTGTACCCTACTTCCTTGTCTCCGGAACTACCCCATTCCTCAGACTGTTATGTTCATTATATTCCACAAATAAGTGAGATCATATGACACTTGTCTTTCTCTGTTTGGCTTGGTTCACTTAGGATAATACTTTCCAGGTCCTTCCATATCATCTCAAGACACAAGAGATCTTTCATTCTTACAGCTGCATAGTACTCCATTCTGTATATATACAACAGCATTTTATCCATTCGTCTACTGATGGGCATTTGGGCTGTTTCCAGATCTTAGCTATTGTAGATAGTGCTGCTACAAACATGGGGGTACATATATTCTATCTGATTGGTGTTTCAGGCTTCTTAGGGTATATTCCTAAAAGTGGGATCACTGGGTCAAATGGAAGTTCAATTTTTAATTGTTTGAGGTAACACCATATTGTTTTCCACAGTGGCTGCACCAGTCTGCATTCCCACCAGCAGTGTACTAGAGTCCCCTTTTCTCCACACCCTCACCAACACTTGTTGTTTGATGATTTGTTGATGGTGGCCATTCTGACAGGTGTGAGGTGATACCTCATTGTTGTTTTAATTTGCATCTCTCTGATGATTAGTGATGATGAGGATTTCTTCATATGTCTCTTAGCGATTTGTATGTCCTGTTTTGAGAGGTGTCTGTTTAGTTCCTCTGCCTATTTTTTAATTGGGTTCTTTGTCTTCCTTTTGTGGAGTTGTATGAGCACTCTCTATATATTGGAAATTAACCCCTTATCTGATGTATCATTGGCAATTATGCTCTCCCATACAGTGGGTAGCCTTTCCTTTTTGATGATTGTATCTTTCGCTGTGCAGAAGCTTTTGAGTTTGATGTAGTCCCACGTGTTCATTTTCTCCTTTGTTTCTGTTGCCTTAGGTGATGTATCAGTGAAAATTTTGCTGAGTATGATGTCTGAAATTTTGTTGCCTACAGTTTCTTCTAGGATTTTTATAGATTCATGAGTCACATTTAAGTCTTTTATCCATTTTGAGTTTATTCTTGTGTAGCGTGTAAGTTGATGGTCTAGTTTCATTTTTTTGCATGTAGCTGTCCAAATTTCGCACACCATTTATTAAAGAGGCTGTCTTTACTCCACTGTATGCTCTTGCCACCTTTGCAAATATCAATTGAGCATATTGCCTTGGGTCCATTTCGGGGTTCTCTGTTCTGTTCCACTGGTCTATATGCCTGTTCTTGTGCAAGTACCAGGCTGTTTTGATTACAGTGGCTTTGAAGTATAACCTGAATTCTGGTCGTTGATCCCTCCTACTTTGTTCTTCTTTTTCAAGATTACTATGGTTGTTCGAGGTCTTTTTTGGTTCCATATGAACTTCTGAAGTATTTGTTCTAGTTCTATGAAGTATGTCATTGGTATTTTGATAGGGATTGTATTGAATCTACAAAGTGGTTTGGGTAGTATGGACATTTTAATGATGTTAATTCTTCCAATCCATGAACAAGATATGTGCTTCCACTTTTTATATCTTCTTCTTTTTTTTTTAATGACCTGTAGTTTTCTGCAAATAGGTCCTTTATTTCTTTGGTTAAGTTTATTCCTAGGTATCTAAATTTTTATACCACAATCGTAGTTTC